GTTCTGGATTTATGTCAGACTACCATAAAGGTCCTTGCTCCAGAATTGCTGATGCGATTAGTTTCATTAAAATGGTTATCTCTGTCGGATAATCTAATACAAGATATAACAGAATCAGTCTTCCAAAATTTGGCTAACCTCACATACCTAGATCTTTCAAATAATCACATCAGTAATATAAGGACAGGATCCTTTTCTCAGGTTACTCAATTGAGGAAGCTTAACCTTAAGGGAAACCGACTGACCTCATTCAAAGGTGAATTGTTTGTCACTCGTAGAAGCAATGGCACTCTTTTAGAAGAATTGAATTTGAATGACAATGAATTGAGTTACTTATTCCCTTCCTCATTTCGTGTTCATCCGAGGCTAAAGTCACTTTCTGCTGCTAGAAATAAGTTTAATTTCTTCCCAGCTGAGCTTATTCTGACTCTAAACTTTTTGCAAGAAGTTGATCTCAGTTCAAATTTGCTTAAAGGTCTGGAAGAATTTGATTTTGGTAGGTTGCCACGTCTAAGAATTTTGAATCTAAATCATAATCAGCTTGAATCTATCAGTGAAACTGCCTTCCACAACTCTACTCAACTTCAGATTATTGATTTGGCTGGAAATAAGCTTGAAAGATTGGGTGAAAGAACATTCCAAGGGTTAGGAAGACTGAAACTGCTAAATCTACGAGACAATCTTCTTTCTGAGCTGCCTGAATCAATTTTCGAAAGATCTAGGTTGCGTATGCTTGAAAATATTGATTTGTCCGGGAACCAATTTGAAACTGCTCCATTAAAGACATTACAACGGCAATATTTCTTTTTGATGTCAGTAGATCTTTCAAGAAATAAACTTAGAGAAATTCCACCTGATGATAGTATTATGGTGAACATAAAAAAGTTGGACTTATCATTCAACCCTTTATCACAAGAAGCGATTAATAACGTGCTTGGAGAACCAAAAACAGTGAGAGAACTCAATATGGCAGGTACTGGAATAAACCATGTGTCCGTTTTGGAGACTCCATTCTTACACCATTTGAATCTTTCATATAATTCAATTGCCGATTTGCCAGAAAAAGTATTTGAAAGATCCACATTACTCGAAGTCCTAGATCTATCACATAACAAAATATCAGATATCAGTGGTTCTCTGAATCAAGTTTGGCCCAAGCTCAGGAATCTTCAATCTGTTGATCTATCTGCCAACCCTTTGAAGAGTATTGTCCAAGGTGATTTAGACGAGCTAGAATCTTTGAGAAAACTAAAAATATCCATGTTAGAAGAGTGCACTCGCTTGGAAAAGATGGCTTTTCGTAAATTGGGAGATCTTGCTGAACTAGAAGCTTACGGATATCCTAAGCTGGGATATCTAGATGTAACCGGACTATTGCATAGTTTACCAGCTCTTGAAGTTTTAGATGTGGAGGTAAAAGATTCTGCTGTAGGAAGTGATCAACTATCTGCTGCGATGAACCCAAGGCTTGCAAGGTTGGGGATCAGAGGATCCCGAGTACAGAGTATCTCCTCAGGGGCTCTTGCTGGCCTTAAATCTCCTGAAATATCTATCGAGCTGAGAAACACATCCCTGAACTCTCTCCCACCTGCACTGCTTATTCCACTGCCGAGATCATCTAAAGTCAAGCTAGACATAACAGGAAGTCAACTCACCACACTTACTCCTCAGTTCCTATCAGCTTTGGACGATCGTCGAGGAGATTTGACCTTGGTAGGACTTTCTACCAACCCAATTCTTTGTGATTGTGGTGTCAGAGCACTCAGAAGATCACCATTGGCTCACGGTATAAACTGTTCATCCCCAGCAAACCTCGCTGGTAGAATCCTTGTGGAGATTGCTGATGACGAACTGACCTGTGATCCCCACAGACCAACAACTACGATGCGAGCCCCAATTACTATTCTGAAAACTAGTAGAACAACTCCTAGAATAACAACTGAGCCAGAAATAATCTGGTCTCTTCCATCCACTACGATGTCTAATAACAAAATTTTGGTGACCAACAAGGCACCTAACATGGTGATGAATAATATTAATAATGATGATAAATTGATCATAAGTATTGTTGGAGGAGTTGTTGCCTTCATTTTAGTTCTAATCATCATAATCTGCGTTGTCAGACTGAGGTGGAGTGACAATCAATATAGAGGTGGTCCATTAGCCACAGTTCCTTCGTTGATGCAGCCTCACTGCAACAACCCTGCATGTCCCTGTCCCAAGATGCCCATCTACTCAGTCCCCCCTCTCTACGGTCCCAATCCCGGATATGCTGCCACACTTCCCCACAAGATGGGACCTCCCTCCTCGATATCACCAGGTCTAAGGGCATCATATTCCACTTTAGGAAGGGTCCAAAACCAGCCCTTCTACGTCTCTTTTCCTCCAGATGAAAAAGAAATGAGTCTAAGGTAACGACTCTCCAACTTTGTTAATAGACTGTTGAATATTTCACTCTATCCTTCTCTTCAAAGATGCTTATCAGATAATGTATATAGTTCAGTCATAGCTATTCTTGAAGTAGTTCTGAAGTGCATTATTTAGACGATAGTGAGATAAGAATTTGGAATGAGTATTTTTTTCAATTAGAAATGAGCATTTAAGGGGAAAAACAAAACAAACCATTGCAAATTATTCCTTATTGAATCCAAAAAAATTTGAAAAGAAACTAACTTTAAGCTTGATAATGATATAAATTATTACATTGATGTTAAGATGATATAGGCCCATATTTGATCTGGTTGGTTGAAAATGCTTTTTTGATTTTTTTAAACGGATATTTATGTAACAGAAGCGGGCATTTAACTTATTGTGTTTTATTGTATTTTGCTCTGGCTCAATCTTTAGATGATTCCCAGTAATTTTTTTATCTCATAATTGAATTGAAAAAGCAATAATCTACATACCCCAATGTGGCTTTAGCTGGGCATTGTAAATAGCATACATTGTGAGTATTTGCAGCTGCAGTTTGCTATCCCTAAATTCATTGTAAAAAGACAAAACTGAGAATATTCGTTGTAGAATATTTTGAGATTCTAACCAATAAACATATTTTGATAGTTCCCTTATCTCAGTGTTGCTGAGAGAGGCTCAATTAGAACATTAAATTACGTCACATGCGTTTATGATCAAGTCACTATATCTCATGTGAACAGGACTTATTGGCCTTGGTCTTTTGGTAAACTTTTAAGTTATGATATTTATACTTATACTTATACTTCTATGAACTAGAACTATAAGGCCGGCCACACCGTAACGGTTGAGTCTAGACAAGGTGATGTGAAGCAAGTCGGGCAAAAGGTGAGGCAAGTCAAGATTCCAAAGTTCTAGGCAATGTGATGTGAAGTCAGACACCTATATAGCAGAAGGCGAGGCAAGTCAAGGTTCCAAAATTTTGGCGTAGTTTGTATAAATCACTTTGTTTTATATCGATGGTCGTTTGTTAATTACTTCCTGATATCACCTTCAACATTTGACTTTGTACAAGTATCACAGTTTGGAGGAGAGCCACAGATGGGGGTTGGAACGGGGGTCTCTTTAACTAAACAATGTGTGAAAGCTAATCTAGTGATTTAAAACAAGATGTTAGACACTTCAGCTGGGTACTTGACGCATTTAATCAAATGAGTTTTTTGTGTTCTATATGAAACCATAAACCGAGTTTGGTTTTGAAACTATATCAACTAAGGTACAGAATGATGGAAATTCGTGCATGCCCGACGGTCAATGACTGTTGACAAAGTAAAATCTTTAAATGCTTCCCTTTTTGATGAAAGGCAATTTTCCGCCCCATCTCGCCTTGCTTTCCATGTCGCTCAAGAAGCCTTTAGGCAAAATCCCTTTCCTCACCTTACCTTGGCTGTTGCAGTGTTTAGCCGGCCTAATGGTTTGCAATGTCTGTTTTTGTAAATATAAACTATATTTATATTGTATCAATATAGTTTTAGAGATTGTACATACGATCTTTTGTATATTTATTACATTGCTGCAACATGTTTAAATATAGTTTTTGTTATAAAAAAATAAAAAAAATCACATCTTGTGTAGTTACAAATTTAAGAGAGGAATAAGAATATTTAAGAGAGGAATATTTGTTATGAACTAAACAATAAGCAGTGAATTTGTATTACGTGCACAACACATAAGCAAGTGATGATTAATGTAGACAATACATTTTTATCCGTGTAAATACAGTAAATACATTACGATTTAATGTATTTACAGTAGTAACATATCCAAGGCTATGTAAAAGGAAACAATCTTTAATAGAAAAATTATAAATGTCTAAATAAAAAGTATAAAAGAAATTAAGCAAAACTCAATAAAAGCCTCAAAAATGTTTTTGGACTCAAACACATTTTATTGCTACTCTACAATTTGTTGTACATACTGTTTATATTCTTAGATCTATAAGATTTTATACAATTTTGTGTTAGTTTTGTTGCACTTAAAAGCTGCGCATTTTTGGATGCAATGACCTTAACACACTACGGAACTTTTGTAAGGGAGGGGAGAAAAATATATAGTATCCAAATTTACAGTTGTTTAATATAACCCTCATTCTAATAGATGATCAAATTAATCATTTTGTGTAAGATCCAATATTTCAATACTTTTGTTAATTAAAGATGCATTAGGCTGCAGTGATATACTAAAAGTAGGTTGTTAATATACTATAGTAATTATCTACAATATATTACGATTTTAAGATACTTTTCCTCTTTTTTTAATAAAGAAAACATTCATACAGTATAACATTATTTATGATGATTAAAACTGCAATGTGATATTTTTTCAGTTTTCTTGGTAGGGTAAAGTATTGTATAAACAAATCAAGAAATAAACCTTCAGGATTATATGTTGTCTACAGTTGCTGTGAAATGTTGTGAAATAAGTAATGAGGAAAACACTTACTGTTTATTAATTTTGTGCCATTGATTTTTAATTTTAATTACCGAGTATTTTATATATTATTTTGATTTTAACAAGTAACAAATTAATTATATGTGTAATTCAGTGTTTGTGAGAACTATTAAATGGGAGGGAAGTGTGAAGTTCTCTTCATACGCAGTGACCCTGGCTGTCCCTACTGCTTCAATATAGCTGGGAGGAGGCTCACAAAGTTCATTCTATAACAACATCTGGCCATCAGGGTGTGCAAAACAAAACCATCGTTTGGACAGGAAAACACATTTAAAATAGTTTATTAGCAGTAGACCTTACATGTGAGGATCTTGATCTGGCGTGGATTGAGTATGAAGATTACCAAATCATTCTAAATATGGTTTTGAACTATTTCAATCCTTAACTACTTAAAACTATTTTGACAAAAAATCCAGGTGGGGTTTAATATAAAAGAATAACTTGAACTTTATCAACATTTGATAGAGGAACTAGAGTGAGAATTTTTAAAATTCCAATATTTACCCTTTGATCTGCACTGAACCTACTCACCACATGTTTGGTAGGTTGAGACCACTCGGCACTATACGGAGGAGGACGATCTTGTAGCTGCATTAACACCAGCCTTTGTATAGAGTTGAGACTGAGAATGCTATCAGAGTTATGGCGCAAGTTTCGTCTCACCACACTTCGCCTGAAAAGATAGACTATGATTACAATCAGAATTTGGTTTTTCCCAGGTTTTATGGTAGGAATCCTTTCCGTGACTTCATCAGGTTCAGATAAAGCCCTTATGTTTGTTTCAAGGTGGTTCCAAAACCTTCTGTCAACAAACATAACCTTGCTTTTGCTGAACATTTAATAAAAGACAAACACGAGTACAAAGACATCAACACTAATTAGAGGTTTTAAGTTCCCAGGGAGAGGAAGGTTTTAACACTTTTGAGGAGTATGCAATTTACAAGGCCAGCAAAAATACCCCCAACGCACATCCTCAACGGAAAATTTGAATATAATAATACAGTAGACTCCCTGTTATCCGGACTCCTCGGGACCGAGGCCATTCCAGATAACTGTTTTTCCGGTTAAACCGATGTCCCTAAAAACTCGTTAAAATGGACCGTTTACTGTGATATTTGACTTAAATTGTATTTAGACACGTGATCACTGGTCTCAAATATTTCCCACGAGTACAGTCGTTTCAGTACCGCCCACTTCCTTCTGATCTAGTCCGGTTAAACCAATGTGCTGATAAAAATTGTCCGAGTAAAGAGATGTCATTTCCGACAAGTGTAGTCCCGTTAAACCGATGTCCGGTTAAAAGGTGTCCGGATTAGATTGAGTCTACTGTATATTGTATGGGCCAGTCCTAAAGATCAATGTAATATCAACAGATGATAGCTTTGGAAAATAGAAAACTAATATTCTTTTAACATATTTGTTGAGAATAGTACAGTATCATATTTACAGGTGGTTTACAGAAACATTTCATATTTTAAGGTCATGAGATGAATTCACAGACTCAAGCTCTCTAGCAGCCAGTCTGTGAGTTTTGACTTGAAAGTGATTGGATGAATTATTCTGTTGTTTAAGTTGTTCTGGAAGGAGGTTAAAGTATTTAGATCCTTTATAGGATGGTTTTCTTTTATAAGTGATAGCTTGTGGATTGGAAGGGCAAGATCTAATGCATGTCTGGTGTTGTAGGCAGGGGCGTCACATGAAAAAAAAATTGGGTGGGAAGACATTTAGAATTTCCCAACTATTTATTGCGGATTCCCCAACTATATTACATGGATTTCCAAACTCAAACTGTATTAGGTACTCAGATTTCCCAACTAATTAATATTAAGCTTTAACAGTAAGAAGGATAGTCCTATTTTACCTTTAAAGCCTCTAGAAAGCTACATATACAAATAACTAGAAAGAATTCTTGCATTATATTGATTTGACTGTCAATCTTAATTGTTGATATTGTCTTAAGTGCCTAAACAAATGTTCACACTATATCTAATATATAAATCTATATAGGAATACTTATCAACAACAAAAGTTCACTTGATAGAATCAAAATAATTTTCATTCTATATTATGAGACCATAACATGAATGTGTGTTGCATCCATTAGATCCATAGGTCCCTAACTAGGCCTTTGATTAGACATTCAAACAACGTTAGGACTTCACCTTGAACAAGCTTTCCAAAAGAGAATGAACAAGATGGTAGCTGTGAGCATCAATGTAACTGCAAGAATGCATTGAGCCACATGTTGAAATCTCTCTCGATCTGCTGCTGATATTGTCCTGGAAAAATATAGTTAACTTATTTAGAAAATGTAACATATATATAATTATACATTAAACAGGCTAAGCAAAAGAGAGCCAATGTCTTAGAGCAGCCAATCTGGACTCCACTGGGATTTCAGTGTGTCAACAATCAGACTTAAATCCACTAATAGATAAAGGTAAAATTCAGCTCAAGGTAGTTGCCATTTTTTAATGACCATCTTTTTTCAGTAAAATTCAATTGATAAAGGAGAAAAATGACTATATCAGTCTCTTGATCAATGTATGTGAAAGTTTTACTTTTTGAGCTTATAACATTTGGAATGTTGTAATTCGTTAAGCACCAAGGGACAGTGCATACAGTTCTATTTATGTTTTTGTTGTTTGTGATTTTCTAGCTATAGCTGCGTTTGTGTACCAAACTTGTTATAATAAGATTTGCCTTGAGTTTAGTTAGCCTGAGTTCTTGTAGGTAAGATTTTAGTGTCACCCTATGCATTTTGCCACCTCGTATGGCATCTTTAGGGGTCTTCTTGTGAATTCATCTTATCACTAACACTACAGTCTATGTTTACAAACATATTTACACATACACGGTCACTAGTATCGTGGTTGGGTCGATTGGACAACGCAACGACAGAATCAGGGAACTCAGACAACAACAACAAAGGTAAATCTAGTATGGCTCAAGTTATTGAAACTGGGATGACAAAAAATCTTCATGCTAATAGTTCATGCCGGTATACTGTGTGACTCTTTCCCTCACCTCGCACACTACTCCATGTAATCTACCGGTAAACAAAGCATTACCTTTATGGTGACTTATTAGTCTGGGGAAAGGTAACTTTTAACTGAAGCTGATCAAGAACAGACTCCAAACCTATATACCTCTAACTAGAAGACAAGCAAAACTTTTGGCCTTGCTTAGTGTAGAATACTATAGATAATTCAACCATGAGAACATCATAAGCGCCATCATTACGAAGAAGCTTAGACGGAAACCAATAAGCAAGAATGACTGAAACATTGCATTTATGGCTATTTAATATTGACTTGTACTATTCCTGTTGTTTGTTGGTCATGTTTACCCACACCACAGATGGAGCTTAGGGGACTAGCCGGCCCTGGCTGCAGCCTAGAGAACTTAGATATAATCTGAGACCAACGTAGTGTTTCTTGCTTTGTGCACTACCATTCTAGACCCCCCCCCCTACAGGAGGATTAGTCTAAGAGGGAAGCACTGCTATAGATGATCATAACTATAGTTGGAAAAAGAGCTTACCAGCAATAGTCGCTGTATATGCACATACAAACCCCTTTGTGACAGATCAGGTAGTCTTGGTTGCAGCATTGAGAGTCAGAGCAGCTCTCCCCAATACCTGAGATACAATATCAATGATTGAATTTGTCCATAGCCTACACATGATAATAAAACATCAGGGGTGAACAGTGTACATCTTGCTTGGAAGAATAAAACAAAAATCAATATGATCTGAAACGATGTAGATCTTTACCTAATTTTAATTTAAACTTTTTTTTTTTTTTTTTTTTAAAGAGGTTGGCGGCCTCTTTTAACCTTGTATTTGCCCGTCCACATAGACTAAGCGCCCGTGCGTGGATCGTTTACAGCAAAGCAAGGAGTGAGCCGGTACAGTACAAAGGTGAACTGTACTGATAAAATGTTATCGGCAGTGACCAGGATCCGAACCCACGACACTACTGCCTTGGGCCCGAAGTCCGCGACGCTACCGACTGAGCCACCGACTCACTAAACCTAAAAACTATAAACTATAAACTATAAACTAAACCTGATAAAATAATTTAATATTTAACTTTAAATTATATAGGCTAACACTGACCATTTACTTAAGCAACCCTGCATGAAACCCCTCTATCACCCCCTACCCCTCTATCAGACCCTCTATCAGAATCTTGCTATACAGTGTATGTAAAGAGTCAAGTATCCGATCAATTATTTCTTTTATTATCATGAACTATTATTAGGAAATTAGTATGAATCCTATTGTCCTTTATTTTTTTTAAATGTCCTTTTATTAATTTGAAAACCCTAAAAAGTATATACTTTTCTCACATTCACTCCCATATTTCATTCGGTTTAGCATTACATGGGTCAACAAAAATATTAAATTTGGATACCAGTCTGAAGGGACAAAAAGATGCTTTCAGAATTATGCTTAAGCTTAAACGAGATGATTCGGCAAAAAAACGTTTTAAGAAATTACAAATTTTTACAGTTTATGGGCAATATATTTATGAAACAATTCTTATCGCAAAAAAAAAATGAATCCGAGCAAGTAATAAATTCAGTGCATTCTTATAATTTCAGGAGGAGAAGGGAGTTTGTCCAGCCTCACAAATTAAAATTTTTTGAAAAAAACCCTCATATGCTGGTAGCAATTTTCTAAAATTTTTCCCTGAATTCATAAAAAAATAAACAAACCTATCTAAATTCAAGATAATTCTAAAAGAGCATATATAATAAATCTATCATTATATTCTTTTCGATTAATTTTCCACCTGTTTGAATATGAATATATTTGAACCACTTATGTCTTTTCTTTTACTATTATTTAATTTTTTTCTTTTTAACTGTATCCCAATAAAATATGTTTTTTTCTTTGCATAGGCATATATATGTTTCTTGTTTATTCAATTCCACATTTCTTAAAAAATTATTTAAATTGCAGGGCATTGGATTCGTCTATTGCAGCATTATTATGTATATTTACCTCTTTAGTAGAGGTTCCTGCCTGAGTAGTCAATGAGCTTTTGTCCCACAAACATGGTTTGTCTTTGACCAGTTCTATTATAACTTGTCCGTATCAATCGTCATAGAAAAAAAATCTAATTGTAGACGCTAAAAACTCAAACTTGTATCAAAATCTCCAGAAATTCCGAAAGAAGTGGCTCCATCCGTGCGGTCTGACTGTTATATGTCTCTCACGAGACTGCTTCTGTCATCCCCTGGAAAAACAAATATATATACATCTAATAACACTTGTAATAATATATTTACACTTATACTGTTGACTTACAAGACGGTAAATACAATTAAAAAGTTGGTAAGATGATGATTGGAGTGTCCAATCGAAATCGATCACCACTTACCAACTTTTAAATGTATTTACCGTCTTGTAAGTCTACAGTATAATTATATTATTACAAGTGTTATTAGTCGTATATATTTTTGTTTTTTCAGGTAATTTAATAACACGTACGATGCTGATCGAGAAGTTATTCTGTCATCCCCTCCAACGTTGCTTAACTTTGCCCGGTTCAGCCGCAACATGGCATGGCCTAACCGCCCAGGCGTCTAAACTTTGTGTCGTTCGTGTGTGGCCTCCCATTTGATTTAATGTTTTGTCGCAGCATGCGGATAAACCATGTCTCGTCCTAAAATAAAAAGTTTAGCGATTCGTATAATCTGTGACAAGGAGTTAACTACGTCTTTTGAGTAAAGAAATAATAAAGTGTGTAATCTCTAGTAGGAAACTTGTTTCTGTCAGAAGTATCCAACTTACGAATGTTGATGTGACTAACCTGGGCACTCAGTGCAGGTTGTGCTGTTGGCGAGATAGTACAAGTTCTGACAGTCACAATTGCCTTGGTCACATACGCTGTGTACTCCCCACGTTGACTGACAGACAGACTCATTGCTGCACAACACTGTGCTCTCATTGGCTGCAACAGCAACCAACACATCACACTCCTATGCAACATCCTCCAGAGAACACCTATCTTTAGTAATACCAATAAATAAATGTGCACTAATGTAACATTGATGGTAAAATGGCTGAGACCATCTTGTTGCTACAAACTTAAAAAATGGATTGCAAAAGCTAAAAACTGGTACCAGTATTTCTTAACAAAATTATTAAACATAATAATGACGAGGGTCCAGAAAGGTTATATAGGCAACTCACAAGTCCAGCAAGCCTACATAGAAAAAACACAAGTCCAGCAAGCCTACATAGGCAACACACAAGTCCAGCAAGGCTACAATGGCAACACAAAAGTCCAGCAAGGTTACATTGGCAACACACAAGTCCAGCAAGGCTACATTGGCAACACACAAGTCCAGCAAGCCTACATAGGCAACACACCAGTCCAGCAAGCCTACATAGGCAACACACCAGTCCAGCAAGGCTACATTAGCAACACACAAGTCCAGCAAGGCTACATTGGCAACACACAAGTCCAGAAAGGCTACATTGGCAACACACAAGTCCATTTAGGTTACATAGGCAACACACAAGTCCAGCAAGGTTACATAGGCAACACACAAGTCCAGCAAGGCTTCATAGGCAACTCACAAGTCCAGCAAGGCTACATTGGCAACACACAAGTCCATTAAGGTTACATAGGCAACACACAAGTCCAGCAAGGTTACATAGGCAACACACAAGTCCAGCAAGGCTTCATAGGCAACTCACAAGTCCAGCAAGGCAACTCACAAGTCCAGCAAGGCAACACACAAGTCCAGCAAGGCTACATTGGCAACACACAAGTCCAGCAAGGTTACATAGGCAACACACAAGTCCAGCAAGGCTGCATTGGCAACACACAAGTCCAGCAAGGCTTCATAATCATCTTAAAAGTCATTGAAATATTGTCTGTCCGATTATCTTTAACTCACTTTGCTTGGTAAATTTTCATTAATTTTCCAGACAATTTAAAAAGTTTGTTCAGGTCTTCTGTTTATAATTAATGCTTAACTTTGATTAATTCCATTTGACAACATTTCAGTTTTATTTAAGCACAGAATTGAAATGGGAAAACAAATAAGGCTTTCAGTGGAGGAACATCTGTAATACAGACAAGAATCTTTTGGTTTGTGTATTGTGTATAGATGGACATACTGACCTACAGCTCAAGTTAGGCTCCATACCACCAGGTATAGGCATTGCCACATAACTAAAAGCCACTAAAAGCCATTGATGATTGCTGGGTTCTGACCAAAGTTCCGTGCTCTTAACATTAGACCACCCTTGTCCCAGTTTATTTGCCTTCAAACACAAAACTCCCTTGGACTCCAAAAAAGTATAAAGTAAGTATATAGTTCAATTACATTGTTTCTGTCAAAATATCAAATTTTCTTGCTCGCAATGTATAAAACTGTAATCTAATTCTAATGTGAAATAAATAAAAACGAATAAACATCTATTATTATTAAATAATAAATCCCTGCCACAGCAAACCTGCTGAGATTACGAGAATTTCCATTTGTCTGATAGGATTTTTACTAAAATCTATTTAAATATCATTTGGTAATTAGTACTTAGGTTTGCTGTTACAAGGAAGGTAATAAATTGAGTTTTTATTAAGGCATTAATAGCTTAATATAAAATAAATAAATTTGCAAAGTTTGATAAAAATATATTCATAAACAAACAAGCTAGAACAGTTTACTTATTCCACATAAGAACAACATGAGAATTATTTTTTTTGTTTCTTCCGTGGTCAATTTTCAAGCTTTTTAAAACGGATTAGCAAAAAATTGGGAAATTTTATGTTTTGAAGGTCTCCCATGGTCTGATCCAGCATGTAGGTTTACACATTTGTACAGAAATTAATCTAAATTGGCTGTGTTTTGCTCGAGTTATCGTGCTAGTGGACACACACACAAACAAATATATATATTTGTTTAGCCATTTCTATTTTATTAGTTTTTGCACCCATGAGGGCTAAAATAACTAAATAAATATACATATACATTACGAAATCAAAGTGAACAAGTAAATCGGTCCCGGTTCCAGGTTTTACAATGAGCTCAAGGATTAATAGCTTATTCCCTATATGGGAAATTCGCCAAAATGTGTCTATTCATCTGCAAAATAATTATTCAACTCCGCTATTCCTTAAATTACAATAAAACTCAGACCTATCATCATTAGACCTATAGATCAAAAGACCTGACAATTACGCATTTACCTCAATTTCAATCGTCTAGAACTATAAGCTTACTACTTACTGTCGGATACAAGTCGAAGAAGACACAAGCACAAGAGCGAAACATACATCCGCACCTCCCGCATTCTAGACTGGCTGAAATAACATTTCAAGTACCATTGATAAGATACTACTATCTTTGCTAATATGTCAAATTGTCCCTATAACCTTTTACTCTTAAACAAATCAATGAACGACTGCATATAAAACAAAAGGCGTCTCAAACAACGGCAAATTTGTACTGGAAAGGCTAGACAAAGATTTACGGGTCAGCCATAAGGGAATAATCTAAAAATATATATAATACACAAAATTTATAGAGAACGTTCTGTAAATGTTAATCAAGTGATTCAATGCGCAGTTGGTGCAAGTCGCTAACCGAGGATCATCCGTGACTGTGGAGTCGGTAACTACACAGCATCGACAGAACTCAAATCAACACTCATAGCAAACCGTGCATTAATACACTAGTGTACCGGTTGCTAGGTATTACAGGCGTTATTTTTAAACAAATAACCGTCATAATTCCTGATGAATTTAAAAGATTCGACTCAAAGATTATGGAAAAACCCAAGATGTACATAACACATCGATATAACCAACATTTCTTATAAATATCTTATCATTTTCAATAGCTGATCTTTTTTTTTACTCGTAGCCGCATTAGGTTGTCCATAATAACGATTATAAAAAAAACAATATTTCTATTTATTCTCCTTGGTGGTGTTCTATGACTTTCCTATGTTTCCATAGTTTGCAAATCGGCTCTTTCAATGAATACTAAGAAATGTAGCACAGTGTTGATTCAGATTTCTTTATGTATATAAAACTATCCAGGCTCTCACTTTTTTTCATTGTAATATTTACACAAACCCAAATTCAAATGGTAAATATTTAATTTCAACCAAGTCAGTAAATGTGTGTAGCAAACTGTTAAATTAACAAACTTATTGACTGTTTACAATCAACATATGCTCTTCTTCTTACTTTTAATTTTTGACAGCTGCAGTTTCATAACAATATTTGTTTCTCATGTTAATCTTATGGAGAAATACGAAACTTTAAAGGACCCAAGGGCCTCATTCTCTAACTATTTCCTTAAAAAGAAAGTTTCCTGCACAACTTCACGTTACGCTTTTTCCAATGAGACCAAAAACATGTCAATCGGTTCAGTAGTTTCGGAGGAGTAATTGTCACAAAAAACCTGCTTGCGTATTGAATAAGTATAGATAGATATGGCTGTTTAATTTACGTACTGGTACTGCCAAAGTACATCAGCTTTAAATGCTTAAAATTATATTTTAGAGTGGTGGGGCAATAAATAAACAAATATGACGATTTTGAATGGTCACATGAGTTACGTATCTTGGTTGCAGAATGGGCTAGGTCTACTGATCGTAATGTTACTGGTTTAATTATAAGACAAGCGAAAAGAACATTTAAGGTTTAATATCATAACAACCGAACATTTTATTGGAACGTATTCTTTTTGATCCTTGATTGTTTTACATATTTTGGACCGGATCTTAATAGACCTTTTAACAACTTTATATGAGTACAGCAAATGTAGACTCCGAGCCACCGACTTGTGTCATTATTATTTGTAGTGATGATTGGGAATTGAACCGGACTCTCCAAAACAAAAGTGCCCCGATATAAGCCAGCCGAACTTCAACAAATAAATCAGCACCTTAAGCCATTTATTTCTCATTTAGTGTTTCCCATACCTTTCTCCAAACTTTTAACCGATGTCGTGATAAATAAAATACCAAGCCCCCTATTATAAATTCTTATAACAATGCATTACTTATTATTTGAACCTATATAAATAAGAAACAAGGTGAAATAAACTAATCAAGACGTTTTGCAGTTAGAAACTTGTCAAGGTTCAAACAAAATCCAGATGTGTTTAAACTTACTGTAAAAACAGCAATGCTTTGCCAATACATCCAACTCTTACACAAGATTGAGGAGGGGGACACGAAGAAACCTAAAGAGAATAAAGCATTATAAGAAGTAGATTCCGGAAGTAGGAAACGGGCCAGGTACACCACCGGAAGTAAAGCCATGTTTACGGCTTAAGGGAAACGGAAATACATAAATCATGGGACGTCCCTGCATACACAACTGGAAATTGGGCTTTGGCACTAACAGAAAGCTGTTATGCGGGAAATGTTGATCATATGTGTTTGCAGTGTTGACAGATAGTTATTGAACTATGTGTTTCATATTTTTGTTACTTAAAATATATTTTAGGATTAATTTCCGCTTAAACTACATAAATAATTTTTTTATACTTAAGATACCGGTACTGCTTTTTACTCCGTATCTTCCGTTCCTTGTTTCCTAAGTTTAGTAAAATAGTTTAAGTGACAATTTATCAACGTAATTTTACCAAATAATCACGGATTTATAATATACTAAATTAATATCTCCACCAGCCTCTGACAGACAGAGGCTTGAGAGTTTTAAATAATCAACTACACGTACGGAATAAAAGTTATATTAAAAACTAGCAGAGTACCCGTCCTTCGTACGGGGTTGATGGTGCTTTTTGAAATCTGAAATGAAAAACAGTGTAAAATCAGATTTAATTCCAATAAATGTACCTATCAAAAAGTTTAACTTACTAATTACATAAAAAAAACATTTTCAAACAATAAAACAAATAAAACACCCAAAACTTTTACTTACTTTTAAATGATAAAATCAAACATAGACAAACAATAATTTACAACATCTGGTTAATATTACGGCTTGAATGAAAAGAAACATGTGATCGTGCTTCTAAAAAGCATTGCTCACTTAGCATTGATTATACAAATATTTCATTTTATACTATGTGAAAAAAAAAAACATTGACACTCTTACTACTAAAACAAACAGAAATATACTTAGCCCTACTATTTATAGCTCCTACTATTCATGCACCAAAGGCAATTGTACAAACTTAGTTTTTTATTGTTGTTTTTAAATTGAAATACAACAGATATACAATCTCACTTATTTCATAAAATCAATGATCAATGAATCATCAAATATAAGAATAAATTAACATGTCACTTGATTGTAGAGAATATTATATGCCTATTTATAAACCAGCTGTGGAATTGTGAATTAATGTGGTTTGACAGTTCAGCTTGTTTACATTTGGGTGGCATAGCAAATTGCAAACATTGTGTGTGTTCTCATGGCAGCCATGGAGACCAATCAATATTTACTTTTAAAATCCTCACCTTAGAACTTTTAAAACCAAAGGAGCAAAGCCCACGGTCAGTATCGAAGTGTGAAAAGTCCTATAAAGGTCCTTGGTATGGTAGCTATATTTTTGTATAATTTAAGCCCTGTCAGTTAAGTAGTTTATGCGCCTATTAGTAACAAACATACAGACAGACACGACTAGATTTGTATATAATAGTATAGATTAATGAAATTTGTAGCAGAATGAGAGATCGTACGTTCTATATAATAATTAGAGTCAGATTCCAACCTGTCAGATTCGGAACGTTGCAAAGTACCCCACGACCACGACCACGACCACGACCACGACCACGACCACGACCACGACCACGACCACGACCACGACCGATTCCTTGTATCAGCTGATCATCAATAATTCGTCCGTCAACATTTGGGTTATTTTGGCGTCGATCCAGTGTGTAAGTCTAGTGCAATACGGTTGGCTTAGAACGGTACGCATAAACATATATTGCGAATGTGTGTTTATTTTAATTTGAGTTTGATCCCGAGTTTGTGTTACTTTGTACATAGCCTAAACTACGGCTATGGTACATCACAATCGTATATATTTATATTTTAAGGTATTGTATTTCATTTCTTTATTTGTAAAATTCAAAAATTATATAATTCATAAGCAAATTTAAAGTTTTAAATACAAATCGGAGTTATTAGTGATTATATTTCAACAAATAAGCGGGTTTGTGTCTCCAAACTCTAAAGTGGATTTAAAAATTAATAACTAACCGAGCCAATAATAAAATATTGAAACTTGTGGTAAAATCAATACTGTCAACCATTATAGGCCTATTAAAAGATTAGGCAATGCGGTTTATTTGACTGAGATACTAGATAAACAATTGGGGCATTAGTGAATATTTATGTTAAGTTTGAAAATCTTTAGGTATAGATTATAGATTAACCATTCAAGAGGTTCAAGTGAGTGGTTGGAATTGAAAACTCTTTACAGAAGCCATTATAGACGACGGGTTTGAAGGTTTGGCCCATTTAAATGACAATAAACAGCTAAATTATATTGCCACTAATTCGCCAACTGATCAGATAAGTAATTAGCTTATACTATCAATTTAATAAGCCCAGAAAGAAAAGTCGAGTTTGATTTATAAAATGTGCATTTAGAAGGTTTTTGAAAAAAATAAACGTATTGAAAATACCAAATTAATTCATGTCAGCATTCATCTGTAGGAAACGCAACATGACCGAAAATAGTCGAAATTCAATTTAAACTATAGAACAATTATTTATTTATCATATAATAAAGACATCTCATGAAAAATAGAAACCTTCGAATAGCCTACAAAGAAGTTCATCTTTAAAGACAGTCCACCCTATTTTGTAAAGAATTAAACTGAAATGTGATCATGGCCTAATAGCAGAAACATGTTAGTTTGTTTAAAGAAATTAAACTGTAGTAAATGTTCAGATTTCTGACTTATTTCTTAATGACACTAGTAGCCCTCAACAATGAACAGTGATATATATACATTAAATCCCTTTGTTGTATATGTATATAAAACCTTGTGATACATATATAGACGGTTCATTAATTTATCTACTTCAACGGCTAGCAGTCAATGTAAAAAAGACAACTTAATTTTAGTAATTAAATGACGGCACTAATTATTGGATGGACATGTGGGCAAAAGGTTGGTTACAAACAGTTATTGGCCAATGGCCACCGATGGGCCATTTACAGGTTTGATTAACATCCCGTACCTGGGTTACGATTACCATTACCGTGTAAAGGGTTCCTGCATTGCTCGGAATAGCGATGATTTACCAAACTAAAAGAGATTACGTTTCTTGTTTAACCATAACAAGAGATGTAATTATTTTGAATAC